GTCGGTCGGTCGGTCGGCCGGTCGGTCGGTCGGTCGGTCAGTCCGTTGGTCCGTCGGTCCGTCGGTCCGTCCGTCTGGCTGGCTGGCTGGCTGGCTGGCTGGCTGGCTGGCTGTCTCTGTCTGGCGGTCGGTCGGTCGGTCGGTCGGTCGGTCGGTCGGTCGGTCGGTCGGTCTGTCTGTCTGTCTGTCTATTTTTTTTTCTATCGATCTATCTTTATCTATCTATCTATCTATCTATCTATCTATATCTATCTATCTATCTATCTATCTATCTGGAGCGGCGGGCGCCACGTCGAAACGGCCGCTTTGAAATTGCTCGGGCCTGTGCGAAACCCGCCACCTCAAAAACCTGCAGTGTCTTGTGTCTGGACCTCTAGGCCATGTCCGGTGGGGTGAAAGTACACTTAAAAATCACCCCGTTATTTTTTGAGGGGCGGCTAGGACCCGACAAACGTCCTGGGCCGCCCCATTTTTTATTTTTATTTTTGCCCCAGGGGCCTCCATCCAGACATGAGGACCGGACGCCGGACACCAGACACCGGACACCGGACTGTCTGGAACCCGGTTCGGACGTCTGGGCGGTTACCATGATATCAATAGCTGTTTTGTTTGCCAGCAAACGGAAACCAGAGTCATCAACCGTGTGGACTTTTGCAACCATGGCCTATGCCAGGACAGTCTGGGCAGTCAATTTCCATGAACTTTATGAATGGACTTTTGGTGTCAAAGAATAGAAACGACATGCTCTTCGTCATCGTCGATCAGTTTCCCAAGTTTATTAGGCTAGTATCTACGCAGAAACAGCATTCTTCAGTGAAGGAAGTAGCTGAGTTATCCGAGGAACATCACTGGTAAGGATTCCTGCTTTACGAGGGAGATATGGAGTGACCTGATGGAGATCGCTAGTACATTACTCAAGACGAGTTCGGCCAATCACCCCCAAACGGATGGTCAGACTGAACGCATCAGCAGGTATTGTGCCACCCAGTCAGGCCCAATCAAATTGATTGGCACCCAAAACTAGCCCTAAGGTAGGTAGTGTTTGCGACTCCTCAGTACACCCAGCCACAACGCGGACACATAATGCTCGTCACCTTGGATGGAAGTCGCTTACACCAGTTGATTTTTTTATTTTTTTATTTTATTTTTTTTATTATTTTTTTTTTAATTACCCAGAAAAGTTCACCAGTTGATTTTCATATCGGTAGCAAAAAAATCTTCATCGAGCAATAGAGTTCATCGAGCAATTTGCTGATAAATTGCGACAGGCGATTCGGGATATGCAGAAGGAGCAAGAACATATGGTTGCTGAAGCCAATCAGCACCGCAGACCTTCCCCCGAGGAAGAACTAGTTTGGGTCATCATGGATGAGTTTGTGGCCGGTTATCCATAAAACTTTTGTTAAAGTGATGTGGGTCTTGGGAGATATTGAAGGTGATTGTGGATAGCAGGATAGGTCCATCTTACCCGATTGATATGGCACCCCACCTAAGGACTTACCCTATTTTCCATGCTTCCAAATTGATGTCGTACACGCCAAAAAAAAAAAAAAAAAAAAAAAAGAGGTCGTACACGCCATCCAATCTCAATGGTAGACGAAATATGTATCCACCCACCATGGATGGAAGGACAGATGTGGAGAAGATCATTGATCGGTGATATGTTCGGAGACTAAGAGGGAGGCCGAGTAAGATTTGTAGAGTCAAGTTCCAATAGTCTACTGAAGAGGAAGAAGACGAGTGGGTAGACGAAGTACTCTGCGGGAGACAGCACGCTGGGTCGTAGCAGATTATGAGAGAGAGAAGCCTCCGACAACAAAGGAGAAGAAGAGAATGGCTACAGCCGAAGTTATTGTATATTTTGTATGCTAAATGTCCGATCTCAGTTTGTGGACTTGTTAATAATAGGTTCTCAAGAGTCTGATCTCAGCTTGAGGACTGTTCTCAAGAGACTTAGAACTGAGGCGGACGGGCTGTTGGGATCAGCGGGATTGGAACCCAAGACCTAACCCGACCTAACCCAAGTGTGAAGCAAGAACAAGGATTTTCGTTTGTTTTGTTTTGTTCTTCAAGTTTGATGCTACTGTCTTCACTCGAATAGAACGCCCGGTAATTGTGGCCGTATCTGGACTGAAAAATGCATCAAATACGGCTATAATGACCGGGCGTTCTATTCGGGTGAACAAGGTAGTCAGATTAAAACTTGGGACCTCCAAGAACATCCCTTCCCATCAACCGGCTGGTGTGTTCACTGGGCAATTGATCCGATTTGAACAAATTTGAAATTTGTAACAATTAGCGGGACTTTCTGGAGCAAAGTCACTTACTCGTCACATGCTTTCTCGTGGGCATGCCCCATCAACCCTTGCCAACAGGTGGACCTGCTACATGCGCTCTCACCAACGTCGCTATCCTACGCATGTGACACGTCTCTCTCAGTGGTTCCGACACATGCTGCAATGGTCCTTGTATCATCCACTTTCTTTGCCCCCATAACGCTCTCGTCCTACCCCTGTTTGCTCATCTCGTGCTACCATAGTTTCCACTGCTGCAGTTTCCGCCGCTACAGTGTCTACTGTTGTAGTCTCCACAGCCACAATTTTTACTTCCACTATTACAGCGTCCACTGCTGCAGTCCCTACTGTTGCAGTTTCAACTGCAGCAGTTTTCACTACTGCAATTTTCGATACAGCAGTTTCCATACCTGCAATTCCCCAACCTGTAGTTTCCCCTGCCGCAACTTCACTGCAAAGAACATTGTTGTCTCTCCGACTCTCACGTCCTCTATTTCGAACCTTGGCCAACCCACCCCCTTTTCATCTCTTTCTGTACTTGACCGTAGACGCCAGCGTTCCTCCTCGCCACCCCCATGTCGATATCCCCACAGTCGCGCTTGTGAACAGACTCACCGGTTCCGATTGTTCCCGTTGTTCCATCTTCATTACCAGAGACACGTTCATCTTCAGTTTGCAACACCGCTACTCCTCTTATCGTGTATCATCGATGACGTGCGCCACAACATCACTTGTCCGGGGATCATATCAGCCACTTGTTTGTTTGTCTGCCCCAATTCTCTTTGTGCTGCTCCATAGGTTATTGGGGTTTCTTTGTGCCAAATGGCAAAATCTGCTCTTATGTCTCTCACAGACAGTCGATCTGCCTGCAGGCAGCCACGGGACCATGTTTCATGCCCTTCAACGTTAGATATTCACGAGTTACCTGTAGAACAGGATACGACCCCCGCTCAGGGTGCAGTCCCAATTTCGGCTTCATTCCCTACTCAGGATTCAGCCTTAAACTTCGAGGGATTGGAACATGATTTGCCCGGATTGTAGTTAACCCCACAAAGCGTAGACCACATGGGGGATCTGCAAATGGTTGTCCACCATCGTTTGAATGAACCGCAAATTTTGTGCCCCGCCACGTGCAGGACTACTTGGGTGATGACTGACCAGCAAACAACCGGAGACATTTTGGGCGTGCAACACCATGTGGGTGATCTGCAAATTGTTGGCTAGCATTCGGCACAACAGCCTGAGATCCTTACCGATCTCTATGGTCTGACTGCAACTGATATCTGTCTTCACATTCTTCGCCGCCCATTTTATACACCGTCAGACTTCCTTGCAATCGCCCTTCAGCTTGATGCTGATCTTCCCAGCCTACAGCCAGAGGATTGTAATTATACCAGGGACAGAGGCTTTACCATTTCTGTCCAACAAGTAGCAATGAGGGACCACCAACTTAACTACGTAATGTTGGTGAGTGGTTTAATCCTCTATCCCACATCTTTGCCTGCATTGTGTTCGGACCTGGCCATTGTACATGCCTCTTACCACTGGGAGCTGTGGGACAACGGTGTCATGGTCCATGCCATGACTGATGTCACTGTTTTCTTACATAATGATGTTGTTTTCTTCCCACGCCAAACTGCCCGCAATCTCTTTTATGTCGAATATCATTCCTTTGGCCCCGTGCTGCAGCAGGACAATGTACCAACGCTCCGCAACCTTCTCCTTTGCACAGCTACGAACACTGTTACGCTTGGCTGTAGCCGCCATCGTCTCGGTCACAATCAGCACAATGACATGGTTTGTGCATCCATGTCTGTAGAGGACTGTCCCTCCGTTCCTGACTGTAGGCACCCTCCGCATCCAGACACACTATGTCCATTTTGCGGCCATGGGCACTATACTGAATGCATGGTCTTTTGTGGTGAACGTTCTTCCTTTATTTTGGCCTGCAATGGACACGCCATTTGTTGGGAGTGTATGGTGGGCATGCTCAGTGCCAGTCGTCGTGGCAATTGTTGTACTGAGAATGCGCAGCTAGGTCTTCCATGTGTTCATCCACCTCATCCTGATACAATATATGTCCTCTCTTTCGTCAAGGACAGACTCATTCCTGAAATTTTTCTTATCCTCTCCTTTGCCTTCATCAACATTCCACACTCTGCACTTTCCCTTACTTTCCTTTATCGTTCTTATCCGTCTTCTCTCCATCTCTCTTCCCTGTGTTTATCCTCTCCCCCTCTACTCTGCCTTTTTCTCACAGCATACAAGTGGGCCATTGTGGCACACGGGGAAATGGGCAGCTCGCGCTCAACTTCATGAACATGTCGAGCCTTATACCCGAGAGGCACGGTGAATTTCAAATAATACTATAATAGTCCTTTTTGACTGGGAATTCACGATCCCATTCCCACCTGGCCATATCAACTCATCCAATTGCCTCTCTTTTGCTTCTCCCAGCCAGTCCTGATGAAATGTGTTGATCACTTTTTTTAAGTGTTTTGATATCCTTTTTTTGAAATAAAGTCCGTAATTTAACCTTGATTATACCCTATACTTCTCTCATCTCCTTTTCATTGGGCTGGTCTATCTCGTTGGCGTCTTGAGCTCTCGCCTGATCCTATCTTGTCTTACCTTATGACCTGTTTCTCCCCAATTGTGTGTTTTCCGTGCCGCCACTGACAAAACGCTTGGTTTTTCCATTGGCAGGCATCTGGGCAATTCTGCAGAGCTGTACGTTATAGAAGCATCAGGTCATCAACCATGGATCGAGAGGGCTGATGTGTACAATCAGGTTGTATTGGAGTTTCTCATGGGACATGAAGAATCACCAGGGGGCAAGCAAGACGAGCCTCAGCCTCGCCACAAGAAACGTACATCGTTGAAATCCCGATTTGCCGGCATACAGAAGCGCCTGTCCTTTCATTCTCGTTCGGCAAAATAATTGGCGCACGGGACTCTCTCCCAAGCACGAAGTCCAAGAAAGTCTATTTTTAGCCACCTGGTGCTGATCCGTAGGGACCGATCTCTCAATTCAGTGGAACTCCTGGCAGCACACCCCTTTCTAAAGGGGGGGGGGGGGGGGGGGGGGGGGGGGGGGGGGGGGGGGGGGGGGGGGGCACGGGAGGGAAACCAAATCGTTCAGCAACCCTTTTGAAGGTTCCTTTTTTTCTCCCGAGGTTACGTTCTGTCCTCCTACTACAGCACGGCAATCCGTGAGGAGGGGTTGGGGGGGTGCGTACTCAGATTAAGACTCTTTTGAAGGAATTTGTCATTGATCCTGGTCAGGTACATCCAGGAAAGTAACAATTGAGGGTATGCTGTTATTTGGAGGTCCCTCCAGCTTTGCTACAGTTTGTGACACTCCATACACTCCCATAGCATTTGCTAATAGCTGGGAGCATAGCAATCAACTTGAGGGGGTCTGTCAGAGGCTATAGACATGGGTCTTAAATTCAATCCATTTCCACTGCAGTCCCTGCAGAATTTGCAGGTATTTTTTGGGGCGCTACGAAGCGCGACAGGTGCCTCGTCGATCCGCTGAAATGGCTGCCCGATTATCCATTTCAATGCATTTGCTGTCGGGACGGCTTGATGGTGTGTTTTTCAGCAAGAGATACCTGATGACCTCAGCAGCAGATATGATGTTATGAGCTTTTGGGAGGTTGTCGCGCTGCGGCTTTCCTGTTTCACCTGTTCTGCTGAATTTGCCTCAGGTAGCGATGAAGGGCAAGCTTCTTGGCTATGGCATTCTTCTCGTCTACGGCTTTCTTCTTGGCAACAGCATACTTCTTGGCTATGGGACTATGGCTTTCTTCTTCCCATCTACAGCAACCTATTTGAGGGTATCTTGGGTCTTTCTAACGAACGTTTACTCTTCCGATGCAGTGGTATTTCAGTGCCTGGAGTGCGGTTTTTGTCGGGTGCGCGTAAGGGAGCAAGCTTCTCGGCTATGGCATTCTTCTTGGTGGCGGCTTTCTTCTCAGCAACAGCTTTCTTCTCGGCAATGGCTTACTTCTCGGTTACGGCTTTCGTCTTCCCGTCAACAGCAGCATCTTTGAGGGTCTCCTGTCGGGTGACTCGGGTCTTTCTAACGAACCTCTATTTCCCAATGCACTGATATTTCAGTGTGTGTTCTTTTCTGGGTGTGCCGCCTAAGGGAGCTGCAGGCTTGCAGCCCCTTCTGCATTACTCTTGAATTTTCCTTAGGGCCCCATTTCACGTTATTCCTCAGAGTCTATCTTCTGGGCAATGAGGGTAGGTAGTTGGGTTTGGTGGAGGCCACATTCTCCCCCCATTTACTGTGGCTCTGCCTTCCTATGGTGGTGAGAGTAGGTAGGTCTGAAGGCTGCATTCTCGATTTCCAATGTGATGAGGTGTAGGTCCTTCCGCCGTGCGATGACGGCAAGTACTTCGCTCCATGGGTGTACACTCCCGTCTCGTTACGAGAAACATGCTTCTGTGCGAAACTTTGGCTGTACGGTACTGAAGCATCATTTAGCCTAATCATTTACAGTGTGGTCGTCATTCTTAAGACCATCTGTGAGTGAGAGCTAGCCATCTTCTTCAAGCAACTTCGAGGTGACGAGTGCTCTTCTTTCTAATCGCTCAGGGATCATTGCACCTGATTGATTGATAACCAGGATGGTAATGGTCCAACCGTCCAAGAGACATTCGGTTCCACAAGGAGGAGATGTTACAGTATTTGAACATGTGAACTTCAGCTCAGAAGGGAAGTTTTTCGCTTTGCTGAAGTTTGGGAATTGGGTTCCCAGATGATCTATCGGCTCCACTAACCGCACTGATGGCAGAGAGACCATGAAGGCACCATGATGGTGGGTACTGGGAGCGTATTTGACAGCACACATCTTTGATAGCTTTCCACATGGGAAACAGTCAAACAAGCGCTTTGTCATGCAGATACGCATTCACAGAATCTCTCTCCCAAACATGCCCACCACAATGCAGCAGAGGCCTTCAGAATGTTGCAGCCATGTATGCTGGTCGGTAACTATGGTCAGGTGAGCTCTGCGAAACACGAGCGCGCACACAAGGACACATGCATGCGTGCAAACGTGAGGACACACACATACAGAGATAGAGAGGCAATCATATAACACCGACAAAGGCAGACTGTAACTATTTGTGCTATAGGAGGGCCATGAAGGTAGGGTATGGCGATGGAGAGAGAGAGAGAGAGTGTTGTGTGCAAGGAGTTGAGAGTGTGGGCTAGAGTGAGGGAGCCAGGAGGTGATGGCACATATATATATATATATATATATATATATAGTTCTATTTGACGATATATATATATATATATTATATATATCGTCAAACAGAGCTGCCTGGTAATATATATATATATATACACACACACACACACACACACATACACACACACACACACACACACACA